TCTGCTTTTTATTTTTGAGCGGTTCCCCAAAAAAGTATGTGTATAATTATATAGAGAGAGCTAACGCAAATGAGACAAGATGTTAATTAGTGAAGCGAGGTGAAAAGTTAAAGATTTCATCATACTATTCTTGCAAGTCAAAAAGTTTGACTTTTTTTTTAAAAAATCAAGAGTTAGGGGATCCCTGGGTGGCTCAGCGGTTTAGCGCCTGCCTTTGGCCCAGGGCGTGATCCTGGAGTTCCGGGATCGAGTCCCACGTCAGGCTCCCAGCATGGAGCCTGCTTCTCCCTCTGCCTGTGTCTCTGCCTCTCTCTCTCTGTGTGTGTGTGTCTCTCATGAGTAAATAAATTTTTAAAAATCTTTTAAAAAAATCAAAAGTTAAGAAATTTTTAAATGGATTACTGCCAGATTGCTTTCCAAAAAGAACAGAAAAGTCTATGGTCCTGTCGCTCCTGATGGTACTGATGGACGACAAATGGCATATACCTGTTTAATTTGCATTTCCTTGACTATGATTCTAAATTTGCCAGACACATGCTTCCTATATCTCTGGGAGTGGAAGTAGGAATATATATCTTTGGAGCTGATTGCCTTTTGTTCTGTGAGCCCTCCTGGTCATGCGTTGGTGGAGTGATCTAAATGCAAATTTAAAGATATCTTCTGGGGACGCCTGGGTGGTTCAGTGAGTGGCTCAGTGGTTGAGTGTCTGCCGTAGGCTAGGCTCAGGGCATGATCCTGGGGTCCTGGGATTGAGTCCTACATCGGGATTCCTGTGAGGAGACTGCTTCTCCCTCTGCCTGTGTCTCTGCCTCTCTCCTGTGTCTTTCAGGAATAAATAAATAAAATCTTTAAAAAAATGTATCTTCTGTTATAAAATATGCCACTAATTTGCCAACAGCTTCTTTTGTTTATTTGGGGATTGAGAGCCTGTATATAAGGTTGTGGCTGGGAAGAGGGGATTTAGTCACCAGTGTTAGAGGGAGAAACACTATATTGAGCATTTGCAGAAAACTTTTTTTTTCCTTTTTGGCTCAGTATCTTTCATTTATCCATGGAGAACCACTTCTTCCTTTAGGGCCATATTGTGAAGTGCTTCAACAGGTCTCTCCATTCTGAAGGATTCACCTCAACAGAAGTGTTTTGTAATATCTGGAGATTAGCCATTTCCATAAAAAGCCTGGATTTTTAGGGAGCCCTGGACTAGAAGGAAGGAGGAGATGGGAGATGTAGTTAGGATAAAGAAGGCATTGCCATGGTGACTAGCTTCGTTGGATATCCTGTATTAAGGCTTTATTTCCAAAAATAAGGAGAAGCCATTGAGAGACTTGTTCATGAGTGTGCTCCTCAGTCCAGGCATGTGTGCCTTACTGTGGCAGGGTTACAGATTTCATTTGTTTGTTCGTTCGTTCATTCATTCATTCATTGTTTTTGCTTATCGTCTAGTTAGTTACCATACAGTGTAATGTTAGTTTCAGGTGTACAATGTAGATATTTAACACTTACATGCAATGCCCAGTGCTTATCACGAGAAATGCTGCTTCTAGACCAGATGGCCCCATTGCCCCATTGCCCCAGATTCCCCATCTGGGAATCTCCCCCACGGGAGGGTCAAAGTCTCGTGAGGCTGAGAGCTGCTGTGAAGGGGCACAGGACCTGACAAGTCTCCACCCCTACCCACACCCTCCCTTTCTGATAAAACTGCCTACTTTGGAGTGCCCATACTTCTTGGGAAGGACTGCTCATCAGCAACCTTTCCATGTGTGTTTGGCTTTGTGGTAAAATGATGTGAAATTTATAATCTGATGATTTTACCTATGTATTGACATATTATTGTTTTGTACTCATCTTTTTTGGTTAGAATTGAGAGAATGGAAATGGGAGAGTCTTCTGAAAACCCTCAGATTGTGTGTTTGGGACCAGCCAGTATTTTTTAAGTTTGGTGATCTCTTTTGTTGTTTGTTTGGAATAAAATACCTGAATACATTTTCTGACTTAGGGGCTGAGCAGGAATCAGAATACTCGAAACTTGGACCATCCAAAAAAATGTGAACTGTAAAGCCACTATTTTAATAAATCATTTGGAAATTCAGTAGCAAACCCTAGAAGTGATGGCAGGATGGAGAGGAAGTTTCCTCATTTTCATATTAGCAGACTTTTGGTTCTCATCCTAAATGACATTGCAAATATTCTGCTGGTCCCGATAGGGAGTTGACTTGAGTGGTGAGAGAGATTTCCAAGGTCTTCACACTGAGCTTTCAGTGTGAATCTCCTGTTTTCACAAGGCCTTTCCGTTCCCCAGGATGGCAGAAGTAATCCAAATGTGAGGGGACTTGGCGAGCAATCTCTATGGGTCTGGCAGGAGAAATGCCAGTGTGTGTGCACTGCCTGGGACACAGCTCTGGGCCAGACACACAGACCTGTAGGCTTCCTGGCCTTAGTCATCCCTTGACACCTAGAGTACGAGGACCAGATCCTCTTTATGCTAGCATCCAGTGCCCCCTTGCCACTGGTGGGTAGACCCAGAGGTGAAAGGGCCCGGTTCCCAAGAACTTATTTATTCCTAGTGCCTTTGCTGTCACTGCAGAGCTTCCATTAGTGACAAAACTAGCCTGTTGGAGGGGTAAAGAGGCTTTCCACAGAGGCCACCTGCTTAATTTCCCTCTCTTGCTCAACCCTGAGGATGGTATGTTCTGGCCTGGATCCTGTGTTGCTCAGGGACCTAGTGGTCTTGGACAACCTTTAAATTGTTCCAAGAGGCAACCACAGTTCTGCACCTTAACCATGGAAAGTGATTACACTCGACACACTGTGTGTGTTGCCATTTTTCCAATGTATCTGTGAAGTGAGGTTTCTTTCATGACTATTTGTTGACTCAATGTAACAGCCTCGTTGAAGAGCAACTTTTGATGCTTGAACATTCAAACAAATCAATGGTTCCTTATTTCTTAGCTCATGTATTTGTCAGGAAGCATAACTTCACATGCTGATACATGAGCCCATCTGTGTGAGTTCACATATATATGGTATATAAGTGTAAATATATAAACACACATGTACGTACAGTTGACCCTTGAACACACGGGTTTGAACTGTGTGGGTCTGCTTATATACAGATTTTTTTTTATAAATACAGTATTGTAAATGCATTTTCTCTTTATGATTTTCTTAATAATTGCTTTTCTCTAGCTTATTTTATTGAAAGAATACAGTTTATAATTCCTATAATATACAAAATGTGTTAATCAACTGTTGATGTTATTATTAAGGCTACTGATCTATAGTAGGCTATTAGTAGTTAAGTTTTTGGGGAGTCAAAAATTATATGAAGGTTTTAATTTATTTTTTTAAAGATACATTTATTTATATTAGAGTGAGAGTGCATGAGTGGGGGTGGGGGGGGGGGAGAGAGAGAGAGAGAGAGAGAGAGAGAGAGAGAGAGAGAGAGAGACTCCTTGGTAAGCATGGAGCTTGACATAGGGCTCTATCCAATGACCCCAAGATCATGACCTGAGCTGAAATCAAGGGTCAGATGCTTAACCGACTGAGCCACCCACTTGCCCCAATATGCAGATTTTAGATAACAGAGGGTTGACATCCCTAACCTCCATGTTATTCAGGAGTTTATGATATATATATATATATATATATATATATATATATATATATATATATATATAATCTTTGTGAAAATTCAAGATAGGAGGTGCAGAATGCCTGGCACCTGATGGATGCTCTCTGTCTCTATGTGCTGCATAGATGTGCTTTATCCAAATGCATGTATATATGTATGTATGCACACAGATGCATATCTAGAGATAGCACCTGTCAGATGCCAGGCATTTTGTACTTCTTGTCTTGAATTTTCCCAAGGATCCTATAAGATAGGGATTATTGTCACCATTTCCTCAATGTGGCACCTGAGGCTGGGAGAGGTTAAATCGTGTGTTACAGAGAATACTACTCTTAAACAGTGGTATCCAGACACACACCCAAGCCCAGCTTATTCCATAGCCCCAGTCCTTTCTACTGCATCATGTCTTTCTCCTTGATCTGTGTGCCGTGGGCAGGCTTGTGTTAAGAGGCACTCAGATGCCCTTTTCACTCCTTTCCCTGACCTGTCACAGGTGTCTCTTAACTGACACCTGGCATTCCAGCTGACATAGAGATGGGCAGATAATATTGAAGTCAGCTCAGTGCATGCCTTGGCCTGTGAAGATTGTTAGCAGTGTCTTACTGTTAGCTGAGGAGCAGCTGAAGATGGGAATAGCCTTTAACTAGATACGTGCTTCCTGTATTTAAAACATTAGTGTGTTGCAAGCAAGCTGTGGTAAAGGGCCAGTTTTTTTTTTTTATCATTTTTCATCTGTTGGGGACTGATACTTAAAAAAAAAAAAAAACAATAAAAACGTTGTGGCAATTTTGTTATAAAAGTTCCCAAATGCCTGCTCTCAAATTCTGTAGTTATCTCATTGTGAGCTGGTGGAATACATAGTTTGCGGTCCAGCACTGGTCCACGGATGCATCTCAAGTAGCACCCTACCATGTAATTTAGGGGAGGCTTAGACTTCAGAAGAAATATATCATTTCTATAAGCCATAATTTTTTTAAAATTTAAATTTAGAGTAATAGTCTCTCTGTTTAGCATTCTAATTTTTAATATTGTGTCTACAACTTTTTTAAATTACAAAAGTTTCATGCTTGAAACAAAAACTCAAATAGTACAAAAATGTCCAAACTAAAAATGTTCCCCTTAATCTCAGTCCCACCCTCCAAATGACTATTATCAATTCTTAAATAGAGAGTTTGTTTCACATTAAAGAAAGAAGGGTGTGAGGCCAAGATTTACGAAGGAGGAAGGGATAGAGGAGGCAATTTAGAAATTTTTTATTCTATTCTTTGTTGATTTTTTTTCTTTCCAGGCAGAATGTTACTACTCCGTATAGATTCAAAGTTATCTTTGATTTCCAGTATCTTCTAACACTGATTCTCTTTTGTTGCAGAGCCAGATCACGTTAATGGACATACCTGTGTTTAAAGCCATCCAGCCGGAGGTCTGTACTTTGTCCTTTAGACTGTTCTAAACACTGTGGCTGGGAAGAGATGATTTAGTCAGCCATGTTTGAGTGACTCTTGATTTCTCCCTTGAAGTCTCTGTAAAAGCATTATTGATTTAAGCCCCTATGAAAGAGCTCATCCAGGTGCTTCTCATTCTTTGAGTCAGGTATTTGGGTTCTGCAGAGAATGTCACTGTTTCTGGCCCACTTTGGCAGGGCTGTGGGCAGTGGGTGCCCATGGCCTCCATGACTGAGCCAGGCCTTCTCACACTGACGTCTTTCCTCAGGCTACTCCTGCTGAGAATGGTCCCTGTCAGGAAGGGGATGTGAGGGAGCATTTTTCTGGAGAGCTTTCTTTCTGTTGATCCCAAATTCTGGTGGTTTACTTGTTTCTGAGTTTGAAACCAGTTGCCACAGCAAAGCATATACATATTTACATTAAAAGCATGTGTACATTTTTAGAAATAGCATATTCAATAAAGAGAAAAAAAAGTTGGTTTTGGTCTTTAAAAATATCCTGGAAATGTATAGTAGATGATAACAAGGCTTTAGGGTTGTTTTAGTCAGGGTTCTTTTTGTGTTGGCAAGTAATAGAAATCCATTTCAAAGTAGCTGAATAGGCAGAAAGGGAGTTTATTATAGGGAGAAAGGGGCACTTGATGGAATTCATGGGCATGGAGTTCAGGTAGCTGGAGAGCCAACCAAGATGGAAGCTCTGTCTCTTGCCTCTGCTTTTTCCTCTTTTTTGCTGTCCTGTCTTCTTTCCTGTCCATTTATGGGGTCCAGTGTAGCCTCCCCAAAGGCCTCCCATTTACATGATCCTCCTTCAGCCACCTTCCAGATCGAGTCCAGCCCAAGTGAGCCACGTGGCTAGTGCTGGTTCATGAGCTGAGCCAGGACATGTAGCCAAGATGAGCAGGCACAGCTGAGGGGACACATTTTAGAGAAGCGGGGAGATGTGTCAGAAAGTGTCTGCTGTGACCATGGTGTGAATTCCAGAACTCTCTTGACATGTAGCCCTTTGTCTTAGAGTATGGTAGCTGTTAAGGTTTTGAGAAAAAGCAGCATATTTTAATACAAAGACAGACAGAGGATCCAGGCCTTCTGAGAGCTGGCATCTAACCTACTGCAAATTAGGAGGAAACTAGTACTTCTAGCTCCACTCAGCATTTATGGGAAGACGTGGCAGTGATTTGTATAACTGTGTGTGTGTGTGTGCACACATATGAACGTATGTGCTTTGCTTATCAGGTTTGGGGAGCAGAGCTATGTTTGTTTTTTTTTTTTCATTGGCTGACTTCCAATCTTTTCCTGTTATCTTCTAACATGAAATTATCCATTCTCTCTAATTAAAAAAAATAAAGCAACTCTCTACCTCTTGGCGATTTTTAGGTATTACTTTGACAGTTGCCTTAGTTTTCAGTCTAAAGCTATTTGTGATCATTTTCTCTGCTTCTCTTTGATCTGGAGTCATTTAGACATTTGGATCTTTATTCTTTGTCCTGAGCATCTGGGAGAGTAGCCCAGCTTGCCATGAGCCCTGGTTCCTCGACCTACATGTGCCCAGGGAAGCTGGGGTGGCCATTCAGGCTGATGATAGGAGGAAAAATGGTGGGGAGTTCTTCAGAGGCATGACTAGGGCCAGACCAAGGCTTTTCCCCAGGGCACGGAAGTTTGGAAGGTGCCTCATCCAAGACATATCTTGTTTTAAATTGTGATAAGACATTAAGGTAGAGATGTTTTGCTTTCAAGATTTTCACTTGGAGCTGTGATTGTCAGTTGTGGCTCACATCAGAATTACCTGGGCGGCCTCTGAAACATGGGGTACCTGGACTCCACCCTTGACCATTGAATCTAGATCTCTGGGTCAAGGCCTGGGCCCAGTTAGCCCAATTTTGTAGAAGGTAACCAGGTGATTCAGATACAGTGAGGATTAAGAACTAATTCCCTTGAGGTCTCTGGAGAAACCCCAAACTTGAATGTCTTGGATCTATGCACACTAAAAATGGAAGAGTTTGGTCCTTCTTGTCATTTTCAAAACTGTGGCTAAAAGGAGGATCCTGGGAGCTGCCCCAGCTTTTTTGCTGTTGTTGTTGTTAGTGGACTGAAAACTATTTTTCTTCCTGATGATGTCTGCCACATTGTGGCTGACCCACCCAGAGTTGGAGGGACATGAATAAAGGACATTTATAAATTTGACAAGACTTCTCAGGAAGCAGAGGCCATCATCAGAGCAAGATGGACACTGTGAGTGACCTGTCCTCCCAGAAGATCAGGAAGCCTGTGGGCTGGTACCTTTCACTGTTGCCTATGCATCAGAATCAGCTGGGGAGCTCTGTATAGAAATACAGAAGCCTAGGCTCCATCCTTGGAGATGTTGCTCTCATAGAGCTAGAGTTAGAGTGGGTCAGGGAATCTCTGGCTGTATTCTTTTTGATATGTAAATTGTCCTGTCTATTTTTTTTGTACTTTTTTTTCTTGCTTTATTCAGCAATAAGACCATAATATTTCATATTTAAGAAAGTATGAAAAATTTGTCAAGTTTTAAAAGCTGAATACATGTAGTGTTGGATCAAGGCACATACAAGACTGGCCAAAGGGCATACAATGCACTTTGTTTTTTTGTTGGGAGAAAAAAATCATGGCAACAGAAAAATGATGTGGTTTTTAAACAAGTAATAGCTCACAATTTTGTAGGAAGAAAGAAATGTTACATTACAAGTTCATTATGTGATATGTGGAAAACTGTGACAGAAATGGGCAGTATTCTTGATCAGAGTGAAAGTAAATTGAACTTTTTTATGTACAGTGTTAAAACATTTCACATAAACCGGATCTAAATTTGATTTCTAGTATTTATTTTTATTTTAAATTCTTCCTTATTTAAAGTACTACTTTCTCTGCATTGTTGAGGGGAATTGCTTATGGTTACACTACCTTTTTAAATACATGTAAGTGTTTCTTTGTTGACATCGTTTATGATAAAAACATAAACATTAACAATTATGTCTTTAGAATTCACTTTTCAAAAATTGGGATGGTATAGGCAAGACCAAAATGCAATTCTGGTATTTGTGTTCATTATACTATGGCGTCTAAATTTTCATGTTTTCCTAGGTACAAATTTCCCCCCTAACGTAGAAGCATGCTCACATTATTGATTTGTGAAGTCCTTCATTCTCAAAACTTTGTTAACAGTGGTTTTAACAACAGACTTCATACTCCCTTATGCCAGCTGATGTATTCAGTTCAAAAGATAATGCTTTCTTAAGGATATCTACTTTGCTTAGAGTAAAAATGGAGATATGCAGCAAGTTTGATATTGCCCATTACTTCACATATTTTAATTTATTGAACCCCTGGGATAATACAAATTTAATAGTTGGAACATAATTTCATAACTATTTTTTGAACTTTAATTTTTCTCATTCAGCCAGTTTTTTTTAACATTTTATTAATACCAAAGTGAAAAATGGCCTGTGCTTATACTACAAGGATCTCATGTGAACTCAGTCCTGATTGTTCAGTACAGCAAGGAAATCACTTTCACAGCCAACAAGTCATCTTACTCAGTAGAACACAAAGTAAATGGTTTATAACGTCAGTATTTGCAAGGAAAATACAGTACAAATTACTAAAAAATACTAAAATATAGAATCATGTTCAGGCATCTCCACTACATCAATTGCACCAGTAACCTGAAATTTGAAACTTTTAATAAAAAGTTCTTAAATATAAATTATATGGCAAATGTATAGTACATTGCTTTTTCCAGTCTCTCTTTTCCAGTGTTTTGCAGTAGAACAGGGTTCCTACCATCACTTCCCTTAGGTTTAAAAAAACCAAAACACAGTCTGCTACAAGGCCTCCAGCATCATGAGTGCAAGTGATCTGAGTCTGGAATACCACTGTCTCTGTAGCTTTGGTTACTGCTGCTTTCACTGTGATTGTTTTTATAAAGATTCATTCCATTAGGAGGAAATATGGTGTGTATTACAAATTCCTCCTTTGAGATTGGTTCATTGCTTATTGGTAACATCTGAAAAGAAGTCTCCCTGATTTCCAGGATGGAGTTGTCCTTCTTAGTGCCAGCTTCCGCATAGTCATCCTTCCTTCTCCTCCCTTTGCTGTACTCACAGTTCCTTGAGAAGAGTGATCCATTTCTATGAACATACCAGCAAACTAAAGCAAGAAGGTCAATGGTCACCAGGGCCACAGCCCCACCAATGATGGCAGCCAATGGTAAATTGGGATTTTTGTAAGGTTCTTTCTATTGCTCTCTATTAAGGGTGGTTGTAGGGTTGTACATTCGAAGGGGTACAGTTTCAGTCTCAATACAAACACAGGTGTCATCAAATAGGTGGAGGTTACTGGTTTCCATGGGAACCATGCAGACTCGATAGGGCGAATCAGGCTCTAGGGCTGTGACCAAGTATTCATTACGTTCTCCTGTTGTGATTGTTTCTGTTTTAGATCCAGATGCTGGGCTATGGCCCAGTTTGAGCCAGCTGAGTCTTAAAGCAGTCATAGGTAGGACAAGTTTCCAAGAGATATGAATTGTGTCGGAGGTGACAGATTTCACAGTAATTATAATTGTTTTTCTTGCTGGACTCCCTGTGGTTTGCTGATCTTTAGTGAGCTTAGGATTCTTAATGTCTGGTTGTTTGGTCACTGGAGCTGGCCACTGTCCTTGAGCAGGATATATCGTATTGGGTATTGCAGTGGTTATCTGAATGGTGCTTACAACTGCACTGTCCTTACAATCAAATAGAACTTTTTTTGGGGGCTTGGCACATAAGCCCACGCACATTGACCTTCATAGGTAGTGATTGCAACCAGTCACATACCCATTTCATCTTGCACCCACAATACCAGGGATTGTTGCGAAGAATCAGTTGGATTATATTGTCCAAATCATCAAAGATACCCTGAGGTAAATTACTTAGGTTGTTATTGGACTTATCAAGTAGATACAGCTGCCTTAGATAAGAAAAAGC